TTTAATTAATTTTAAATGTATATCTAAATTAAATATTTATTCTAATGTATAATTCTAATTTTACAAAAAAATAATCATAAAATAAAAAATATTATTACATTATAATATGAATGATTATTCTAATATATGAATTAACTATTTTTATTTTATTAAAAAATAATCATTAAATAAAAAATACTGATTATATTATAATATGAATTATCATTACAATTTTCAAACGTTATTATAAAGTCAAATTAAATTATTGATTTGAAATTTTAAATTAAATCATAATTAATCAGATCAGACCAAATCAGATCAGATCCAATCAGATCAGATCAGATCCAATCAGATCAGATCCAATCAGATCAGATCAGATCCAATCAAATCAGATCAGATCAGATCAGATCAGAACTTATTAGAACCAGAACAGATCAGAAAAAATAAGTTAACGGAACGGAGCCTAAGCCATTCACATTCGCACACTCCATAGAATCAATGTGGGCTCCGAAACGGAGAGGATAAGAAAGGAAAGGGGTTAAAATAAAGCTGTGGGAGTATTCTGTAAGACTGTAACTCTTTGTTTAGCTTTAGCCTTACTGAGTTACTGTCCGCTTCTCGCAACAACTGTTCAACCACAGCCAAAACACCCACTCCCCACACACCACCCCCCCTCCCTTTCTCTCTCTCTATAGTCTATACAATACATTTATGGGATATGCTACACCAAAGGTGTACCCCAAATATACACCACTTGCCTCTACACCATTCATTTCATTTTCTTTTTATTTTTTACTTTTTTTGAAATTTTCTTGCCTTTTTTGTGTGTTGATGGAGGGGGTGGGGATGTTTGGGGTACATCTATCTATCTATCTGTACGTAGTACCTACCTCTTTTCTATCCAAAACTAAAGTCGGTGAGGAGTCCATTTCCCTTGCCTGAAAAGCGATTTTTTCCGTCGGAGATACGGAAGCTCTGCCGAAGGATTGCGCTTTTACGTTAATGGAGTCCTGACGTCATGCAGCAAAATCGGCGTGTTTTGGCCGCGTCCTCTCTCTAACCCCCAAACGGAGAACCCCGTTTCCGACCTCCGAACATCAGTTTTCCCCGAGGTAAAGGTTTCGTTTTCTCTTTCACTGCCTTTCCCGTGGATCACCTCTGATTTGGGCCGGAATTCGTCGGTTTTGGAAATCCTATTATCGTTTCTGCACTTTTGTACGGCTTTCACAGTGTGGAATTGTTTTTTTTTAATTTCGTTGTTTAGAGAATCTAATCTGTAATTTACAAAAATAGGTAGAAGTGTAGGTTGATTTGACTAAGCTTCGACTCAATTTGAGTGGAGAAAATGAGAAATTACAAGTGATTTGTGCTGGTGATTTACGCTTCTCCATGAGGATTCAGCCTATAGATTGTGTCTCGCCTGATGAGCCGATTAAGCATGTGGCCAAGTCCCGGTTCAAGCGGCTTTTTGAGAGGCAGTTTCCAGGCCTTCTGAGGAATTTGTCTACAGAGAAGCCTTCTGAGGAGCCGAATTGCAGCAAAGATGTTTCTGATGATTGTGAACCTAGCTCTGTTTGCTTGGCTAAGATGGTCCAGAGTTTCATTGAGGAGGGTGAGGAGAAGCATCGATGCAGCCGGAATCTATGCTATGGCTTCAACAGGTGCTGTACAGACTCTGAGGAAGAAACCTCTGACTCCTGCAATTGCTTCGGCGAAAGCAGCAATAACTCCTCTGGAGATGCATGTGAAATTCTGAAGGTAATCATCACGACTTTGGTTTTTCTGCAATTTTGTATCTGTTTAGAGCCCCCGAG